CAAGGGAAAATCTAGAGGCAACAGGTGGAGTTGGTGCTCCAGAGCGAAGTCCCTGCTGAAGAAATTGCAGGAGCTGCCCGAATCCAGCAGCCCCTCCACCTTGACTGGGTGCCCATTCGGGAGTTCTAGCACCACTGCTATGGCTATAGCTGCCCTGGGGGGGTCAGGCTGGGGCACTTCTATTGGTTGCTGACCTGGCTGCTGGCCCCTCTGGTTGGCAGCCAGGCGTTGTCGCTTCCTGCGCCTGCCCGTCCTCCCCCTTCTCCACACAGCCAGCAGCCCCCACCCTCCCTTGCCAGGCCCTCCTATGAGGGCAGACCCTTGCAAAATGTCCCGCCCGTTGGCAGAGGAAACACTTCTTGGTGGTTTTCCAATCCTTCCCCTCCCTCTTGCGACCTTCACTGGAGTTTGAAACCTCTCTCTCTCGCGCGCCATCTATTTCCATTGGCTCAGCCGCCTGGAAAAACTGTCTCGGTATCTCAGGAATGCGGTAGTCATGGCAACATTCCCCTCTCACTTCGCGTTTCTCCTGAGCCCGCGCTTCCTGCCGCACTCCAATCGCAAGCACAGCCTTGTTCAGCTGATCCATCGACTGTGGCGGGACAGCTCGTCCTTCACCGTTGGGGACAACCCCTCCTCAAACAACATTTGAATAGGTTCAGAGTCCAGATCCCACCCGAGACTGTGGATCAACATTGCAAAGCGCGACCAGTAGTCTCTAACTGACTGGCTCCCCTGCTTGCACCCCATCAGTTCTCGCCGAGTCACACTTTGCTGGACTTCACTGGAATACATCGCATCCATCGCCTGAAAGAATTTCTTAAGGTCCTTCAAGGCATGATTTTGCGTCGCCATAAGGGGCCTGATCCATTCCCGTGCCCCATCCTCCAGATGCCCCACAATGTAGGCTACCCTTTGCCCATCGTCAGCAAAGCCATCATGCTGCAATTCCAAAGCGTACTCTATTTCCATTCGGAACGCATTGTAGTCCTGGGGTTTCCCCACAAACTTGTGTACCAGCCCCGGTACCTTCCTTGCGATGGGGGTGGGTCTGACCTGAGCATCCTGAGCTCGTCTTTCGTCCAGCCGCGCCGTCAGGAGAGCTACATGCTGTTCCAAGTCACGGTTTCTCTCTACCAGACCTTGCACTTCAGCTGCTTGCTCCGTCTCTCCGGCTCCTCTGGTCTGGCTCATCGTGCTGCCTCTCTGGAGCTGCGCACAAGCAACGTCGGGGACTGACGGATTGCTGTAATGGATTTAGGGGTTGCTCGTGCGTAAGTTGCCGCCACTCCTGGCTAGGTTACCTGGTTAAACCCTTTCTGACTGAACAGCCTCTAGCATCATGACTGTCTCAGAAGCTGGCAGAATCCGTCAGTGGGCGTTTCTTAAACTTCTTCCAGCACAAAAGTTCTTTGACGCCTAGTCTCCGCCTAGACTCCCTGCGCGGAAGTCTTCTGCGCAGGGAGGGTGTGGGCAGCGGAGGACCCATACTCTCTCAGCTGGTCTCCGGCGAGGAGTCTTGGAGCCTCCTCTCCGATTCCCCCATCTGCCCCCCTTCTTTATTGGTGTTACGCTGATTTCCTTCCCCAGCGGACGGGCTGCCTCTCTCCCTACTGTGACCCTCTCCAGCATCTCTCTGGAGCCTTCCCTCCGCCTCTAGCTCCGATGGCAGTTCCCTGACACAACCTAAACTCAAAACTAAACACATTAAAATAAACTAAACTAAACAAACCCCACTCCCTAACCTTAACCCTAAATGAAACAAAACAAAAACAATTTAAAAACATACATCATCTCTTTTCCATACTCTATCTTTCATTCCCTTGTTTCCTCAACCTCCTCTCACCTCCCTTTTTGTATTCCACTTCTATTAATTGTTTCAGCAAATCCTTTCCATCTTTCTCCATTTTCTGTGATATTGTAAATAACGTATTTTTTAACCTTATTTTCCATTAAAACTAAAATACTTATATATGCTTAACTCCTTATAACATTTCTGCTAAGCCCATTGAAGAAAAAAAAACATTCCACCATTTTTCTATCACTCATTAGTTTAACCATAAGTCTATATATAAACTTTAAATTTTCCAATCTTCTTCCACCATCTCTTCTCCCAGGTTTCGGATTCTGCCAGTCCTTTCCGTCAACTCCACAAAGTCCATCAACCTGGTGATCTTATGTCCGAGGCTCTTAACTCTTTTCCAAGTCCCTTCTGCAGGTCTTCTTCATTTTCTTTAATGCTAAAGAGCAAATCTCGGAGAAACTCCAACCTGTCAATCCTTTTCTTCCTTCTGAACAGATCAGCTAAATTTCCATAGTTAAAGCTACAGTCCATAAAGTATTTCAGGGCATATTTCAAGATTCCTCCAAGTCCAAAGGCCCCCAAAACTTCAATCTCCTCCAGGCCCGAGTCCATGTCCCAAAAGTCAGTTAATCCCTGCATAGAGGGCTCTTTCCAACTTTCCTTCTTTAATCCAAGCCGGGATCCATTCCTCCGAGTCTGACTTTTCCTAGATTCAATCATAAAAGGCCTCAACTTATAGTCCTCAATTTGCTTCTGTAAAGCCACAGATCTCACTTGTATTATTTTATGTTCAACAACAGCAGCATTCTCCTTCTCCTCCTTCTCCTCCACCATTTGTCCTGCCAAAATGGGTTCCTGTACCAAGTCCTGAATTATTTCTGTGTTGGTGTTCGCTTTTTGACTCAAATTGGTCACTTTCTGTTCCAAATTATCAACTTTAAAAGTCATGTCGTCCATCTTCTTGTGAAGCTGTCCCAGCGAGCAGCTTATCTTACATAAAACAGTCACAATGGCCTCTCCTGTCAACATTTTTAAATGGTCCAAGGTCTCTCTCTGGTTCTCAGAATCCTTATCTGCAGCTGGAAATCCCCCAGTTACACTCCCTGTAACAGTTTCAAAAGCTCCCTCTAGAGGGAAACAGTCTCCACTTGTATCAGTTCTTTCAGGCACAACTCAAGCATTAAAGATAAATTTTCAGTTACTTTTCCTCTTTTTTAAACACAGAAAAGGACAATGGAAACAGTATCTTACTCTTATTTAGCTAGCTGTCAAATCCGTTCTGTCAAATGCACTCTCTCCAAATGTCATCTGGCAGCCCGTTCCCAGGTTCAGAGCAGTGGTAATTTGATTTTTCACTCTCTCCTGCAGGCTCACTAGATCCAAAATTTCCCCTCTTCTCCTGCTTCCAAGGGGGGTTTTGTATTTTAAACCGGTGGAAATTTAATCCTTTGCCAAAAGCTTTCAAAGGCTTTAACTTGTAACGTCTTTGCTTCAGTCTATTTACAAAAACGGGAGGCGGACTTCCTGTTTATAACCTTCCCGTTTCAGTGCCGAATTAAAGTATTTAAGAATCCAATTTTCCGTTTTACTCACGAGTAGTTGTTTAAAATCCAATTGTCCACAGGAAAAATCAGTGCTCTCCGGCAACAGCAATGCGGCTTCACTCCGTGAAAGAAGCAGTCGATTCAAAGCACCGCGCCACTCACCCCACGTCGCTCCGGATCCCCAAAACAGGGTTTCCCCGCGAGTAGGGGAGGCGCAAAGGGTGCCAGCCGAATCCCAGGTTCACAAGCTTCTCCCGCTTGTGATTTCAATGGGTCTCCGCCTTCGCTGTGGCGGTCAGACCCTGTTTTTCACGGAGCAAGTTCCTCCCGAACAGAGGAGCTCCGCCATTGCCGGAGGCGCCAACCCGGAAGTCAGGAAAGGATCTGATCTCTGTCAGAAACCGCTGTGCTGATCACGCGGCACAGGAAGCAGCTCTACAGCCCCTACTACCAGACAATGAATTCCAGGGAGCACAAATACCTTCGGATGTTGATTTTGAACAGATGTATAAAACAGCGACCCCAGAAGAACTGGAGGGATGGAGGGAACAGGGGGCTTCCTTGAAAGATGGCATTTAGTACCTCCCCGATAAAAGACTCTTGATGCCATGTCTCTGGGTACCAAAGCATCTGAGAATATTACATCAATGTACTCATTGGGGAAGGGACACACTTGTGGATAGCATTCAACGTCGCTGGTATGCACTGGGACTAGCCCTCACTGCAAAGGCTGCAGTTAAAAATTGCCATACCTGTCAGACCTTCAACCCAAAACACACTGCTAGGAGCCTGCCAGGAGCCAGACCGTGGGCTTTCGTTCTGTTTGAAAGCCTGCAAGTAGACTTCATAGACTTACCCCCTTGCCAGGGCTACAGATATGCCCTTGTCTTCATTGATCAGCTGTCAGGCTGGATTGAGTGCTTCCCCGCCCGCCGGGCCACAGTGCAGGTAGTGTCAAAAGCCTTGTTACATGAAATCATACCACGCTTTGGGGTCCCAAGGCACATAGACAGTGACAGAGGATCTCATTTTACATCGGATATGGTTCAACAAATAGCTAAAGCATTGGGAATTAAATGGAAACTGCACACCTCCTATCACCCCCCCATCCTCCGGTCAGGTTGAAAGGATGAACCAGCAACTCAAGTCACAATTAGGGAAACTTTGCAAAACCGCCGGATTGAAGTGGGTCAGTGCCCTCCCTTTGGTACTACATAACATAAGAGGACACCCCAGGGGCAACCTGAACCTTTCTCCGTATGAGTTATTCTTTGGGAGACCTTCTCCTGTGTACAACACCCAATTTCCCCCTTCTGAACTAGAGGTGGGCGAATCAGAACTAACCCAATATGTAATCCAGCTCCAGAAGCAATTGATTACTCTTCACAGGTATGCAGCTGGGAGTCAAAATATACCCCTGGATGAGAATATCCACTCTTTCTGGCCAGGCGACTGGGTACTGACGAAGACCTACCACAAGGTGCCGTTGGAGCCCACCTGGGAGGGACCCTATCAGGTATTACTGACTACCCCCACTTCTCTTAAGGTAGCGGAAAAGTCAGCTTGGTTTCACCACACACACTGTAAAGCTGCCCTTCCACCCACTGACGACATCCCTACGACCTACACCACCCCACCGCAACCCAGGGACAATGACAGCGACTCCGAGGACCCCCAACAGACCGAACCAGTTTGGGGCACGAATCGAGCCCAACAGACCGGACCAGTTCCACCTACAGCGACGACTCATTGGACATCCGAAATACTTCCCACAGCAGACGATCAAGGGAGACCCCCAATTCGCTTCCGACTCCACAAAACAACGCCGCTTTGACAGCTCCCATCTGACAGTTTGCCACTTTGACAGCTCGTGTTTCACAGCTTGCCGCTTTGACAGCTTGCCGCCTTGACAGCTCCCATTTGACAGCTTGCGTCTGACAGCTTGCCGCTTTGACAGCTTGCCACTTTGACAGCTTGCATCTGACACCTCACCACTTTCACACCTTACAACAATTATGAATCCTACCGACACCAGCCCATTTCTCCCCTTGTCCTTTCTCCTCATATCCTACATTTTCAGTACTCTTCTTCCCAACTCCAAGACTGCCATATCCACACAACCCCAACACCTCTCGTGCCCAGGATTACAAGTTGAACAAGGACACCTCGATTTTTGAATTGTGGACATGGTGAAGAAAGGGTCGTTAGACTGCCTGGGTGACTTTGACTTTTGCTTACCAGAGCCCACCAGACTTGGGAACTATTCATCCGCTCACCAACTTATACCCTCCTAGGGAAATTTGTCCTCACCCACAATAATGCTTGGAATCGAGCCCGCTGCTTGAATGGCTCCTACACACTTTTTTCTGATGGCGAAGCCCTCCAACCAATTAACTGGACTTTGCTGATTAAATCCTGCCATCCAGTCAGTGCTTCCGCTGCGCAGCTCTGCTGACCTGGGCAGAAAATACAGAGTTGCAGCGGTCCTGCCGTCTGTGTGAGTTAGAGGGATAAATCAAGTCCAGAGACAGTTCGTTGCTATCTCTAAAAATGTTTATTTACAAGCAATAAATCCATCAGAAACCTCCGGCATTTCTCCGGTGCTAAAAAGCACACGCAGTCTCTCTGCAGCGTCTCTCAGTCTAAAGTGAAACCAACTCTCACAAAGACAGACAAAGCGTCTGACGTATGGCCCTGCGTCAGGCCACTCCCCAGATACAAGACACCAAGGAGTTTTAACCCTGTAAACTCCAAACTCCACACCCCCTCTTGTCCTGCATCTGGGGGAAATAAGCAACAATGCTCACCTCAAACACAGACCTTCACAAAACTCCTCATGCTTCTGGAAGGTTAACGGTTTCGTGAAACCATCAGTGAGGTTCTTGGTTGAGGGACAGTATTTCAGAGCAACTAGCCCCTCATGAACGCTCTGACACACATTCTGAAAACGTATGTCCAGATGCTTGGTCCTGGCCGTGAATTGCCCCGTCTCGGCCAATTTGAGGCACGGCTGATTGTCTTCATGCACCACGATGGGCAGACAATGCTCTCCACAGAGTTCTTGGACCAAACACGCATAGAACTCCAGTTCTCTGCAAACCTCAGATAGCTTCAGTAGACGAAAGCACTATGAGACTTTGCTTTCGGGATCTCCACCCAACTACTGAGTTCCCAAACTTCACCACTAGGCCTGACACTGATTTGCGGTCCTCAAGGTTAGCCCAATCCGAATCCACCCAGGCGGTAAGCTTGACACCACCCTCAGCTGACATCTTGAGGCAAAAGTCTTTGGTATCTTGCAGGTAACGCAGCACCCGTTTAATACCATTCCAGGCCTGTACACTTGGACTTGAAGCCTCTCTACTGAGCAGATTGATAGTGAATGCTATATCTGGTCTGCTCCACTGTGACAGATACAGTAGACTACCCAGAGCTGATTGAAAGAGTTTTTTTCATTTTCGAACACAGCGCGTTCTACTTGCTGACATTCTTTCACGTATCCAACTTCCATGGGAGTTTTGACACCTGCACACTCAGACATTCTGAACTTCTCAAGCAACTGCTCAATCTTACCTTTCTGACTGAGCAAGAAGCTTCCAACTTTCGTTCTGGTTATCCCTACGCCTAAGTACGATTTGACATCTCCAAGCTGCTTGAGCTTGAACCGCTTTCCAAGCTCCCTAGCAAACTTCTCCACTTGTTTACCTGTCTGTGCTATGTATAAAATATCATCGACAAAAATCTGAGCAGCTTGCTGGGTCTCACCTGAACCTTTAAGGTAGAGACAGCTGTCAGCAACACTTCTCCTGAAACCTAGCTCTTCTAAGGCTTCATTCAGACACATGTTCCAATTTCTGGCAGATTTCTGGCCATGGTTGCTGCAAGGCCTCTGCGGGTGTTCTCACACTTCGCTGTCTGAGAACCGTCGCTTATCTGCCTTCCTAGAAGGTGTCTGACCTTGCATTCCAGAGCCTCTGCGGAACAATGCCCTTCGCTGTTGGACTTCGCCTCAGAGCACAAACAACTTTCGGAGACTTTGGCTTTCCCAGAGCTCTTGGAACGGCCTGCACCCCCACTCCTGGGTGCATAGCTTCCTGAGGAACAGCTTGCCACTGCCTTCCTCCTCTTCCCAGCTCTCAGCCTCTCTCCAGCACACAGTCCATCACACAGACGTGTCGAAGCATAGAAACAGCTTCCCGGAACAGTCCCAGCCCCCTCTTGGCTCACAACTCTCTCTGGGAATCTTCTAGCCCCCTCTGGTCTGGCTGTGGCTGAGCAGCAGCCACCTTCCTCCCCCCGGGGCTTAAGCGTACTCACGCATTGCCAGCTAGCCGGTCCTTCAAAGCAGCAGCCTTCTCTTGGCTTCGCTCTCCACCAGCGTCTCCCACTGCCCTTCTGGCAGGAGCTCAAAGCAGCTTAAAGCTGGCAGTCTTCTTCCCTCCTCACACTTGGCAGGAAACACGGGAGACCCATAACCTTTGCTGATTAAATCCTGCCATCCAGTCAGCGCTTCCGCTGCGCAGCTCTGCTGACCTGGGCAGAAAATAGAGTCGCAGTGGTCCTGCCGTCCGTGTGAGTTAGAGGGATAAATCAAGTCCAGAGACAGTTTGTTGCTATCTCTAAAAATGTTTATTTACAAGCAATAAATCCATCAGAAACATCCGGCATTTCTCCGGTGCTAAAAAGCACACGCAGTCTCTCTGCAGCGTCTCTCAGTCTAAAGTGAAACCAACTCTCACAGACAAAGACAGACAAAGCGTCTGACGTATGGCCCTGCGTCAGGCCCCTCCCCAGATACAGGACACCAAGGAGTTTTAACCCTGTAAACTCCAAACTCCACATGGACATTATTGGACAATGGAGGAGGGGAGTCAGTTTATACAGACTGCAATCACCCAACGGACCGCCTAATCCATGGATTTTATTGCCAACGTGTCGACTCTACACCCCGTCCTACTACCCTCCAAGGAGTCTGCCTACAGAGATTCTGCTCTGTATGGGACATTGGTCTAGCCTCTACATGGGAAGGCAAAGCCTACCTAGAAGGCTGGTATCACTCCACTACTGGCCCTGCACCCACAGAGTGGGACACTACTGGCCCACAAAGGTGTGGAAGACTAGCTACAAACCTCACCTATCTAGACTGCCAAGACCCCTTACATCCTGTAGGCACGGTACCTCAACAAAGGGGGGAACTGTTGGTGTCAAATATGCCCACCAATGAAGACTTCCTATCCACCTGGCACTCCAATTCCTACGTAAAACTCGTCTCAAAAATTGAACTTCCGGGTTGGCTCGCCCAATATGGCGGACAGGAGTTCTTTCGCAGAAAGGGCACCGGTGCTTTGAAGACAGGGGAGAGCCACTAGAGCACAGCGGCGCCCTGAAAAACCCTCAGATCGAGCGTTCTGAGGATCTGGAGTTCCTGCAAGTGCCAGGAACGACTCCCCTGTTCCCCGGTAAGCTCTGAAAAAGAGTGCCGAGTGTGAGCAGGGTTGGAGGCAGTGGCACAAGCGAATCAACTCGCTTTCTTCAAAGTGCGAAGCTCTGAGTCTGGTGAACGTGAGTGGCCAATTCCTCCAAGGAAAAAAAAAGTAATGTGGACTTAATTCTTCTGAAAACCGTGAGTAAAGCGATCTAATTTGGAACTACAAATTGGGAAGGAAAGGGATTTAAAAACGGAGGTCGGTCCCTTCCACTGAAGAAAAGTGAAAGCAGCTAACGTTACGAAAAGCCACAACTTTAACTTCATTCTTTTAGAAACTTTGAAGTGTTTCCTGCACCCCCTTTCTAGCAGGGGGGGAGGGGGGAAAGACAAAAAGTAAACTTCCCTGCAGAAGAATTGGGGATCTGTTTGGACTGTTATATCTTCTTTGTGGAAGCAGACCTCCCGGGGTGAGGGAAAGCTAGACTCCATTGTGATGTAACAAAGGGATTGGATACTTTCAACTTCCGTTTACCGCTTTGAAAAAATACAAAGTAACTACAGCTGCCAGAGCTCAAAAAATATTTGGAACTGTATCTCCACCTTCTGCTACTAAGCCAAAGGCTTGAAACAAATTTTGGGGGATTTGATTAAAGGAGTAAATATAAAGATTTCTAAAGACTTGTATTTGTCAGATTGAAAGACTGTGGCGAGGAAAGACTCTTATTTTGGAGTGGGGATTACTGCAGCTGGGAAACAGTCTGTTTATCATACTATCTCCCCCTTGTGACTGTAGCTGACCTTGGGGGGAAAGAAAACTATGGATGGGGGAGACAAAGGAGACAAGACAGAAAAATCAGAGAGATTGGAGAGGGCAAAAATTAAACCAAGAAGAGACTCTAGAACACCAACATTTGAAGAATCAGTAATGCAACTTCTTCAGGAAATTAAAACAGAAGTAAGAGGGAATCAAAAAACTATTCAGGACTTGAGGAATGACTTTTCTGAATTGCAAGAGGACCTGAAGACAGTGAGGTATGATATTACTTCACATGAGGAAAGAATTTCACAACTGGAAACGGTAAAGGTCCGGGACTTAGAGACTGTCCAGCAGCAGGCGTTAAATTCGATTGTGTTTCTGGAATTAAAGGAGAAGGAGGCCCATTTGAGATTGAGAGAAGTAGTCCAGAAGGAACAGGACAATTTGAAGGGTAGGCTTATTGAAGAATTTTCAACTTATTGGGAGATCTCAAAAGAAGAATTAAATTTGTGGATTGACAAAGCATACAGATTTGGTCCTAAAAAGGATTCTAAAATCACACATGATTGCATGGTGATTTTTAAAACAAAGGAACAAAGAGACACGATATTGGGACACCACTATAAAAAAAGTCTAAAGGTAGATGGGAAAGCTGTCATTCTCTTCAAGGAGGCCCACAGCATTTTTTATCTTTGAGAAATAATTATACACATCTGGCAACTGCC